ATTATTAGTAGTAGTATTTTTCTTAAAGGGATAGTTCACCTAAAAATAAAAATTCGGCCTTTGTTCATCTTCAGAACACAAATTTAAATATTTTTTTGATGAAATCCGAGAGCTTTCTGACCCTGCATAGACAGCAACACAACTGAAACATTTTATGGCCCAGAAAGGTACATCGTTAAAATAGTCCATGTGACATCAGTGGTTCAACAGTAATGTTATGAAGCTACGAGAATACTTTTCGTGTGCGAAGAAAACAAAAATAATGACTTTATTCAACAATTTATTCTCTTTCGTGTCCGTCTCTGCCGCCATTGAAGACAGTACCATGACGAATGTGTGTGCATTCCTCTGCTTGTAAACAAGGTGCTGCTCATCGGGGTTCTACATCAGAACGCCGGCTCCTGCGTCAGCAGCTTCACAGGCATGCGTCGTGCTACTCACGTGAATGGCGGCGGGGCCTGACATGGAAGAGAATAAATTGTTGAATAAAGTCGTTATTTTTGTTTTCTTAGCGCACAAAAAGTAATCTTGCAGCCCTACTTTAATGCTCTGTGTTTTGCCTCTGTCAGAACTTTGAGGAGTTCCCCGAGCACAGGACACATTTCTTCTACCTGCTGCAAGCCGTCAACTCCCAATGTTTCCCAGCATTCCTGTCCATCCCACCGGCACAGTTCAAACTGGTTCTGGACTCCATCATCTGGGCCTTCAAACACACCATGAGAAATGTAGCCGACACAGGTGAGTGGAGAGAACTGTGGTTAAACAAATAAACATAAATAAATACTCTACACCAGAGTTTCCCAACCTTTTTTTAGTCGCGGCACCCTTTGGAAATTTTAACAAACTGGTGGCACCCTACAAAATTTATTTTGTCACAATATTTGAATTTCTAACTTCAATATGATCATTTGAAAAGTATAGATATTCGGTACAACAGGGAAGAACTGCAGAATATAATGTCATACAGATATTTTTAATATTATTAAAAAAATTTGTCCATCAATGGTGGCAATCAGTAGGCTAATTTCTAATGAAAAGACCTATGTATATGACAGATTTTAATGTAGGCTTTTATACATATGTAAACAATTTTCGGCAGCCGAAATTTCGGTGCATCTCTAATTATTGGCGACATCAGAAATGGATATTATATAATAGATGCTTTTTTGAACATTTTAGCAATTTAAAAATATTCAAAAAGGATTTTTTACACAGCACCCCTGCTCTCGACAGATGGCACCCCGGTTGGGAAACACTGCTCTACACTACTGTGTGAATGCAAAGAGCTTCTGGTTGCATTCAATTTTACAAATTGTGGTGTTCAGAAATACAATTCTTAACGGCTAAGCATTCGTGACCCACAAAATTGTTTTTGCACAGTATGTTTTTGACATTAATTGACATTAATTAATTGTGTGTTTGTGCGTCTCCAGGGCTTCAGGTCCTGTTCACCATGCTGCAGAACATCGCACAGGAAGAGGCAGCAGCTCAGAGCTTCTATCAGACCTACTTCTGCGATATCCTGCAGCACATTTTCTCTGTTGTCACGGATACGTCTCATACTGCTGGTCAGTTGCTAGGCAGAGAGAGAGTGACATGTTTACAGTGTAACTAATGGAGGTGTTATTTTGAACAAAACGGCTTCACATCAGTCACACAGTGAACCTCACAAACACTGTTGTTCAGGTCATTTTTCACCTGAAATAAAAAGGGAGGGGAGGGGGGGGAACAAGATTTTAGGCAAAATATAAAGAAAATGGGATTTGTTTTGAGCTTTGACAATTATTTTTATAGTTATTATTATTTGCATACATTATTATTATCATTCTCATTCAAGTATATAACATTTAAATTGTGAAATGACTTAATTTATAATGAATTAAACATACTAAAAAAAACATTTTAGTGCAGTAATGATATTGAAAATTACAGAAGTTACTCCGAAGTTAATTCAGTGTGTGTGTATTTGATGGGTGCTCTGTCGTTTGTGGCGAGCAGGTCTGACGATGCACGCCTCCATCCTCGCCTACATGTTTAACCTGGTGGAAGAGGGTAAAATCAGCGTCACTTTGAACGCAAGCACCACGAGCAACAATCAATGCTACGTGCAGGAGTACGTGGCCAATCTGCTGAAGACCGCCTTCCCACATCTGCAGGAGTAAGAGCAGCCTAGAACATGATGATTGTGTTTCCGGTGTGCTGTCGTTTTCATGTGTTCATGTTAATGATGGTGTTTTTCTCTCAGTGCCCAGGTGAAGGTTTTTGTCACGGGTCTGTTCAGCTTGAATCAGGACATTCCTGCCTTTAAAGAGCACCTCAGGGACTTCCTGGTCCAGATCAAGGTATGTCACTTCCTTCCGGCTAGATTTTGACTTCCTTCTCTAGTCATAGACCAGCGCATAGCCAGCCAAAAGTTCACAATATAAATGGGTACACATATATGAGGAGGGTTGAAAATTAACTTTTACCCCACCAGCCACAGTGTTAGTTAAATACCCACCTCAATTTATTGAAGAAGTAATAATAATTACAATGAATATTAATAATGATAATAATAATAGAATTTATTTTAATTGATTTTAATAATTACATAGTAATAATACTAACTAAAATGCTCTTTTATCAAAACAATTGTATTGATACTATTAAATATTAATTTTTAATAATTAATGTTTTTTTTATTATTTCTAAAATGTTATTACTTATTAAATGAAACTTTAATATTAATAAAATTCTGGTATGTAATAATACATTAATAATAACATAATGTTATTGCGCATGTTATATTTTAATAAATATGAATGGTAATTACATATTAATTAATATAATTAAAATGCCATTATTGTTGTTTATTAAATGTTAATAATTATTCATTAAATAATAACCATTAATAATAATAAAATGCTCTGCTATGAATAACAATAATACATTAGTAATACTAATAATAAATTATTGTGCATAAGAGTGTTTTAATTTACAATGACATTTTTTTTATATTAATGTTAAGGAAATATTAAGTTAATATAATTAATGGTACGTTATGCTAGTTATTGTGGTTTATTATTATTATAAACAATCTTGTGGCATTCACACAGTTTCTGGCCTTTAAAATGGATATGGATCTGTTTTTGATTCTGAATAACATTCCCAAATCTAGTTAATACTGATTATAAATGGATGCATTGTTTATATCTAAGATTAAAAAATGCATTTCTGTAAAGCAGCTTTCAAAAAAAAAAAAAAAAAATGTAATGTGAAACTTACTATACAAATAAGCGTGACTTGACTTGATACAACATTGGAGTTGTTCCAGTGGGCCGTTCATAATCCCTCACATTGTGTTTGCAGGAGTTTGCGGGTGAGGACTCCACAGATCTGTTCCTGGAGGAGAGGGAAGCGGCTCTGCGTCAGGCTCAGGAGGAGAAACACAAGCTCCAGATGTCTGTCCCAGGAATCCTCAACCCTCACGAGCTCCCGGAGGAAATGTGTGAATGAGCACCAGGACAGTTTCACACTCATGAAGGAAGCGTTTGGAGCGCTTTAAGCTCAAGCGTGTGTTTGTGTGCGTGTGTATAGAGAAGTAGCAGTCAAATGAGGACAAATAGGAAAATGAATCCAGATGTTGGTTGTTTGTCGACCAAATCCTTGCCAATATGTAAATTAAAGACATGTCTGTTATTAGTAACCTGACTCCTCCCAAACCCTTTGGTTTTACATAACAGAGCATTTTATATAACGGAAACTGTCTCTCTCGTATATATCAATTTACTGTATATCCTTCAATGTTTCTGTTTGGTATGTTTGCTTTCCTGTTTCAAAGCACATTACTAATCATTTTAATGTTTTCTCAGCCTCATCTGTTTGTGAATATGTAATATACAGTGTGGCAGGCCAATGAAGACGGACAGTTACTGTGCAAGAAGAGAGATTTGTGTTGTTGAGCTGTGTGGTTCGTGAACCACAGCAAGTGAATGTGACTGTTTAGGATCAGTCCTGATGCTGTTCCGGTCTTCTTTATTGGGGGTTTGTGTGTGTTTATATATATTTTTTCGTTCAATTGCATTAAATGAGAAAGACAAGTCTTTTTCATGCTACAGACCCACTGAGTGTTTTTTCTTTTGGCATAGGGATGTCATTCAAATGAAAGGGTTTGTTCATATCATCCTATTTGTAAAGCTGTGTATTAGTACTATGGAAACATAAAGTTGGGTATTTTTACAAAGCATTGTGTGTGTTTTTTTATTTAGCTTGTAGGACTTGTACTAAAAACATTAAAAATACTATAATTCTGTAAGTATTCTAGCAAACTTACATTATTTTGTTTAAATTTGCTACAGTAATACTTTACTAGAGAGTGTTATTAATCTTGATAAAGCGATAAATGTGTTAAATAAGCATATTAGAAATATAATAAACCTTTTGTATGTGTTGCTTAGTAATTGTTGAAACTGACACGTTTTTCAGGATACTTTGATGAATAAAAAGTTCAAATGAAAAACATTGATTTGAAATAGAAATCCTTGTAATATTATTGGTCTTTAGTGTTACTTCTGATCAATTTCATTAGTTTTCTTTGAAGGACACCAAACTCTTGAACGGCTGTGCGTATTTTACAGTGCATTGCAAAGGAGTAAAGATATATATATAAATTAATTACAAAGCAAACGGGATTTCTGTAATACAGTGCAGATATCAAAATTAAAACAGCACACGTACACGTGCTCGACTGCGAGAAATCGCGAGATTTCGGAAGACTGGCCGAAAAGGCCGGAAGCAGGCGTAACGAAAACAGCCGATGTGTAACACACGGTCGCCCCTCCCTCTCGATCTGCTAGTTTTCCGGAAAAAGCCGAACGACCTGCAAGACGACTCGGCGGAAACAGCCGATGTCTCGCACAACGTTACCCGTCTGCCTCCGAGCGACCGCGAACATTCCCGGGAAAACCCGAACATTTCCGAAGTCGCCCGACAGAAACAACCGAAGTGTAACTCCCGTTCCTGTTCATCATGGCTGCCGTATGTACTAGTCTGCACAGTAACGCTCTGCTCGGAGACTGACTCTCCGCTCCTTTAGTGCCTCACATTTACTTTCTCCGCCTCGACATTTCGGCAAATAATCCCGCTTGCATGAGCCCAAACCTCCCAACCTTGTGTTGCCTCATAATAACCAGCCTTCATCAAGCATTTCGTCGGGCCTTAAACACCCCCTTAAAAAGACAGAGAGAAAAACAGGCAACATTTTGTTTCTCCAATGGTCTGAATACACTTTCCGCCTTTATGAACCATGTGTGAGAACTGCGCCGAGCTGCTGGAGGTGCTCAATGAGAGTAAGTCAACAGCATTTGATTGTTTTTTGTGTATTTTTTGTAGTTTGCAGCAAGTTGTTAGCATGACTGTCCGAGCATGCGGCTCACTGCCTCGATTCAGCGCAGATTTTTATGTTTAATATTTAAGCATTCACACTTTTTGTCAACGTGTGCATTTAAAAGAGCGTTCAAACACATTTTGGCTGTCATTATTTGTCTTTTGTTTGATTTTGATATCTGTTTTTTTTATTAACGCAATGCTAGTTGAACGTGTTAGCCCCTCATAATTTCAGAATTAAATCGTCAAACAAGATCAGCCACAAAATCTGCTGTTTATTTTAAACGGAAGCATCAGAAAACGTCTTTATGTGTGCGCTGAACACCAGCCTGTTTTCATATGTTTGGAGGCTGATGGGAAGTTGAACTGACATCAGCATTAGCATTAGCCTAAGCAGAAGTGTTTGACATTGTCATCCTTCAAAATGCACACAGATCTACATCTGATCGCCCAACACGACCCATGCTGCAGTGTAATTCTGCTTGAGCGAGTGATTTATGATGGTTCATGCGATCTGACAGTCGGGATGTGAGTTTTTAGCAGTCTTTGGCCCGCTGATGGCTGCTGGACAGGAATCCGACAGTATTTGTGTTTGTGTGCTTTGTTGGATGGAGAGAGTGTGATGGGGATTCATGCGCTTTCTTTGCTTCAGTACTGATGTCTTGGCAAGACAGTGACCGAAATACCACGGTGCAATTGTAGTGAAGGATCACCATGGCTTTTGCATGATACTTTAAAGAACTATTATGATATATATGTCAAAAAAACATCACATTACTATGGTAAAGTCCAAAAACTATGGTACTCTGCTGGTACAGTCATGATGTTAGATATATACCATTGTGCTGAAGATTACCGTGGTATTTCCATGATTATTTTAAAGAATTACTATGATAAATGTTAAAATACCTTGGTAAATTCTCCCAAACAACCATGATACTCTGCTTGTACAGTTATAATGTCAGATGGTACTTTTGGTATATACTATTGCATTGAAGAATCGCAATTGTGTTTGCATAATATTTTAAAGAATACCATGGAGTTACGATTATACATGTCAAAAAAATCCCAAAAAGTGGACAGATAAGTGTGAGATACAGTGATACTGAATGATTGCCACATTGATATACCATGGTATTATATAGTAGGGCTGCACGATAAATCGAAATGGAATCGCGATTCGACAGAATCGTCTGCGATTTTTTTTTTGCGTAACTTGTCAGTGAACTACGGCTCTGTGTAGTAAATGCTGCTCCATCTGAAAGCACGTGATGATGATTTCCTGCTGATTACAGAACCGGCTTTACTAACAAAATGCGCGTGACAATCGCATTCGATTAATCGTGCAGCCCTATTATATAGTACTCTGAAGAATGCAGCCATGATAATGTAAAAAAAATATATTGTGGTATTGAATGATTGCAACATTGATACTCCGTGGTATTAGATATTACTCCAAGGAATACAGTTAAATTACCATGATAATGTAACAGAAATATGATATTACTATGTTACCATGTTATAAAATCACTATACTATCATGTTACATTTCCAAAAAAAAAACATGGTTTTACAATAGAGCCATAACTAAAATGCAAAATACATGGTGCTATAGTAACATGTCCAAAAACATTAAAGCATAAAACTTTTTTTTCCCCTGGTAAATTATTAGTGAGTTTTTTTTATTCTATTAGAATTAAATCTCACATGTTGTGCTGTCATTACTTGTTACTCAAGGGTTAGATCACCATAGCTTGAATGTAATGCTGTTTTATTTCCATGTGTTTTTGTGCAAATCTGTGAAGCATTTGAAATGTTTTGTTGAATTGTTGTTTGTCGACACTGATCCCTTATGACAGCAGGTTCTGTTGCTTAACTGGATGACGTTAGCATCGTGTAAACAAGAGTCATGGGTGCCAACAGTTTGGTGTTATTTATTAGCAACTAATAGGGCTGGTTGATAAAAGCAGCAAATATATCTGTTAACAGTATCGTATCGCATTTATTTTGAATATATAATTTAATCTTATAGAGGGTGTGAAGCCATGTTTTCCAAATAGTTTTTATGAAATGAACACAAGAATGATATTATTTAATAATTGTGCTTAATATGCACATATTTAATATTAAACATCAGTGTTTGCTGCTGCTGTTTGTAAGTTATTTCATAGTGTGCATTAGCATGTGCGTTTTTGGCCTTCAGGCATGTCTGGTGTCCTTGAGTGGCAGCCGCATATGTGCATGTGCAGCTTAACATCTTAGCCCTCAAACGCTGTGCTGTGTGTAGATAGACATCAGACCCACCCTTTAATTGTGTGGGCCAGTTTGACAGTGTTAATCTGACTCAGCGTGCTGTGCGTTTGCGTTCAGGAGAGAGCTTAAATGCAGTGTTTGTGTGTGTACTCCCTGTATTTGTCAGCAGAAGTCTGTTTATGCATACTCTGTAATTTCACATTTTCTGAAAGGTCAAAAACAGCCAGACAGTCACTGAACCAGTTATGCCAGACATCATAAAAAGATATGAATCACAGGTAGGCCTGGGCGATAAAACGGTATCGGTATTTATCGACGGTACACCTTCTTCGGTAACGATATAAAAAATGTTCGATATAGTGCACGATAGGGCTGGGCAAAAAATCAAATGCGATTTTCATGCGAAGTAGATCACTGACAAGCTACCCAAAATCGCGTTCAAAATCGCAGGCGATTCATTGCCGATGTGTAGTAGTAGTTGTAGTTGGCTCTGTGTAGTAAATGCCTCTCCATCTAAAAGCACGTGCTGGAGATTTACTACTAATCACCAGAAGCGGCTTTACTGACGAGATTCGCATGAAAATCGCATTCGATTTTTTGCCCAGCCCTAGTGCACGATATAGGCACGTGCTATGAGTGACGCAGACAGCACACACAAACACAAACAAATGCTGAATTGAGTGCTGTGCCTGCCTGTGATGAGATTGTGAATAAAGAATGAATATTAGTCGAATTTAAAATAAACATTTGCAATGTTAGGTGTGCATCAGGGAGC